AAGCATGAAACATCTTCTAGTGAGTATCTACCAAGTTTGTTCAAATAAAAGCCCTAGGGTCAAAATTGGCCCCGCCCCAGGGTGTCTTTGATTTTCCCTATATGCATATAGTAAAAACTTAAAAAATCTTCTTTTAAAGAACCCAAAGAGCTAGAGCTAAGATATTTAGCATGAAACATCTTCTAATGAGTGTCTACAAAGTTTGTTCAAATAAAAGCCCTAGGGTCAAAATTGGCCCCGCCCCCGGGGGTCATTGATTTTCCCTATGTGCATATAGTAAAAACTTAAAAAATCTTCTTTTAAAGAACTCAAGGAGCTAGAGCTAAGATATTTAGCATGAAACATGTTCTCATGGGTGTCTACCAAGTTAATTCAAATAAAAGCCCTGGGGTCAAAATTGGCCCCTCCCCGGGGGTCATTCATTAGCTTGACATTTTTTTTTTATATATATACATATTATATATATACATATATATTTAATATATATATATATATATATATATATATATATATATATATATATATATATATATATATATATACATGTATATATATATAAATGTATATATATATATATATAAATGTATATATATTATATATATATATTATATTTATATATATATATATATATATATATATATATATTGTATATATAGATATACATGCATACATATACAACCAAGTTTGTTCAAATAAAAGCCCTGGGGTTTAAACTGGCCCCGCTCCAGGGGCCTATATACAGGTGAGCGACTTTGGGCCATCATGGCCCTCTTGTTTAAATTTATGCATTGTTCAGTGACAAAATAGAAATTGATTTTACACAGAAAAGATGTTATCAAATCGTATCATGTAGAAATATTATAATATTTCATGATGTTATTTGCAAATATTTGATGTTTAATTTGGTGCATTTTCAAAATGGCGCCGTTTATCGGCAAATATTCTGAACAAGCAATCTATGTTTTTTAAACAAATATAGGTTTAAAAAAACATTATTTTCTGAAATATTTATCCTTTTTTCACAAGTTTAAAGATTTTTAAATAACATCATGTCGTTTAAATTTTCATTTTTGCTCTTTTATTTAATATTCGCCCTTTTCTTGAACACTTATATAATTTGCGTATAGCAAACTATACCGAGTAATACCGAGACATGTTAAATTGAAGCGAGAAGGGTTTACATAGCGTGTTTCCAGACCATTCTATTTGAAAGACCCTGGGGTTATCAAACAAATACACAAAGACAGAAGGGATCATACATGTAAGTCAAACAGTTGAACTCATTTAACAGCTAGCTTGAGTCGTGCTGGAAAGATAAGCAAAAAAAAAAAAGATCACAAATAAAGCAACATCATATCTAGAAACTAAATGATAATATTAACATAAGCAGCCAGAAATCATGCAGGGAAGAAAAGCAAAAACACATTTAAAGCAAAAAAAAAAAAAACTCACTCAGAAACTAAATAATGAATGAGACCAAAAAATGTTCATACCCAGAAAAATAAACAAAAAGTGAAGTAAATAAAGAAATAGAAGTTAGCTGCAAGCAATACATTTGCACTGTTCCAGGATGAAATTAACTTTTAAACTGAGCAAAATTTGAACATTTTCTAAAATTGTCAGGTAGAGAATTCCATAAAGCAGGTGCAGCATACCTGAAAGATTTTTTTACCAGTAGTTGTAGTTCTTACTTGCGGGATCTGCAAAATATTTGAATATTTAAAATTTATACCAGATGTTTTCTTGACAATAAGGTCAGACAGAACAGCAGGAGACATATCATGAATTTTTTTTAAAAGTTTCAATGGCCATAGCCCTCATTCTTCTTATTTTTAGAGTTGGTATATTAACTTTTATCAGCATATCTTCATAACTTGAATTAAAATCATTATAGACAAATCTAAGTGCTCTTTCCTGTAGTTTTTCCATCTTTTTAGTATTATTTTCTGAACAGAAATGCCATGACATAGGACAAAAATTAAAAATAGACAATATAAAAGTATGAAAGACTGTTAACCTATTTGTTTGATTTAAATTGTGACCTATTCTTTTGAGGATGTTAAACTGATTAGCAGCTTTTTAGCTCACCTGTCACAAAGTGACAGGGTGAGCTTTTGTGATCGCTTTTCGTCCGGCGTCCGTCTGGCGTCTGTCCGTAAACTTTTACTTTAAATGACATCTCCTCATAAACCACTAAGCCAATTTCATCCAAACTTCACAGGAATGTTCCTTTGGTGGTCACCTTTAAAAAGTGTTCAAAGAATTTAATTCCATGCAGAACTCTGGTTGCCATGGCAACCGAAAGAAAAAAACTTTAAATATCTTCTTTTAAAAAACCATAAGAGCTAGAGCTAAGATATTTGGCATGAAACATCTTCTAGTGAGTGTCTACCAAGTTTGTTCAAATAAAAGCCCTGGGGTCAAAATTGGTCCATCCCGGGGGGTCATTGATTTTCCCTATATGCATATAGTAAAAACTTAAAAAATCTTCTTTTAAAGAACCCAAAGAGCTAGAGCTAAGATATTTAGCATGAAACATGTTCTAATGGGTGTCTACCAAGTTTGTTCAAATAAAAGCCCCGGGGTCAAAATTGGCCCCGCCCCGGGGGGTCATTGATTTTCCCTATATGCATATAGTAAAAACTTAAAAAAATCTTCTTTTAAAGAACTCAAAGAGCTATGGCTAAGATATTGAGCATCAAACATGTTCTTATAGGTGTCTACAAAGTTTGTTCAAATAAAAGCCCTGGGGTCAAAATTGGTCCCGCCCCAGGGGGTCATTGATTTTCCCTATATGCATATAGTAAAAACTTAAAAAATCTTCTTTTAAAGAACCAAAAGAGTTAGAGCTAAGATATTTAGCATGAAACATGTTCTAGTGAGTGTCTACCAAGTTTGTTCAAATAAAAGCCCTGGGGTCAAAATTGGCCCCGCCCCAGGGGGTCATTGATTTTCCCTATATGCATATAGTAAAAACTTAAAAAATCTTCTTTTAAAGAACTCAAAGAGCTATGGTTAAGATATTTAGCATCAAACATGTTCTAATAGGTGTCTACCAAGTTTGTTCAAATAAAAGCCCTGGGGTCAAAATTGGCCCCGCCCCGGGGGTCATTGATTTTCCTTATATGTGTATAGCAAAAACTTAAAAAAATCTTCTTTGAAAAAACCCAAATAGCTAGAGTTTAGATATTAAGCATGAAACATCTTCTAGTGAGTGTCTACAAAGTTTGTTCAAATAAAAGACCTGGGGTCAAAATTGGCCCCGCCCCGGGGTCATTGATTTTCCTTATATGTGTATAGCAAAAACTTAAAATCTTCTTTGAAAAAACCCAAATAGCTAAAGTTTAGATATTAAGCATGAGACATATTCAAGTAAGTGTCTACAAAGTTTGTTCAAATAAAAACCCTGGGGTCATAACTGGCCCGGCCCCAGGGGTGTCATTGTTTTTAACTATATGTGTATAGTAAAAACTTTAAAAAAATCTTCTTTTAAATAGCCCAATGAGCTAGAGCTTAGATGTTAAGCATGAAACATCTTCTTATGGGTGTCTACCAAGTTTGTGCAAAATAAAAGCCCTTTGGTTAAATTGGCCCTGCAACGTGGGGGGGGGGGGGGGTTGGGGGCCTATATACAGGTGAGCGACCTCAGGGCCATCATGGCCCTCTTGTTTTTAACTATATGTGTATAGTAAAAACTTAAAAAAATTTCTTTGAAAAAACCCAATGAGCTAGAGCTTAGATGTTAAGCATGAAACATCATCTTATGGGTGTCTACCAAGTTTGTTCAAATAAAAGCCCTTGGGTTAAAATTGGCCCTGCCGTGGGGGGGGGGTGCGAGGCCTATATACAGGTGAGCGACCTCAGGGCCATCATGGCCCTCTTGTTCAAAATATGCTCATGTGGTAAAAGGTTTTTCAAGGCCTTGTGTGTCTATAATGGCTAAAAAAATCAAAGGAAAAGTAACATTAGTACCATTTCGTAAGTATGTGCGTCTGTCCGTCCGCTTTTCTTGTCTGGTACATAACTCTGTAACAACAAGAGGTATCAACATGAAACTTTGTAGGTGAATAGATCTCACTAGATAGAAGTGCAGTGCTAAAGAACTTTAACTCTGCCTTGCCTAATTTTGGAGTTATTGCCCTTTGTTCATTTTTACACTTTGAACCTTGTCCGGGACATAAATAAATATCAACATGAAACTTTGTAGGTAGATAAATCTCATTGAGTAGAAGTGCAGTGCAAAAAATTATAACTCTGCCTTGCCTAATTTTGGAGTTATTTCCCTTTGTTCATTTTAACGCTTTGAACTTTGTGTAGGACATAACTCTGAAACTATAAGAGATATTAACATGAAACTTTGTAGGTAGATAGATCTCATTGGGCAGTTGTGCAGTGCCTAAGAACGGTATCTGTGCCTTGCCTAATTTTGGAGTTATTGCCCTTTGCTCATATTTACATTTTGAAATTTGTCCGGGATTTAACTCTGACGCTATAAAGATATGAACAAGAAACTTTGTAGTTAGATAGATATCATTGAGTAGATGAGTAGTGCAAAGGACAGTAACTTTGTCTTGCCTAATTTTGGAATTATTGCACTTTGAACTTTTTTCGAGACATAACTCTGAAACTACAAGGTATATACTTTTCTGTGACCAGTTCTTGTTAAACTTGGTAGGGATATTGTTTAATCTTGTTGGAAGATGAGTGATTGTAATAAAATGTACTAACTTCACATGTTATCATTTTCTGCTTATTAATAAAGATAGTGCCACACTTTCTCAAAATAAGTGGTAGGTGTTTATAAATTAACAGCCTATAATTTTGTAGTAAGTGTAAAGGATCATCAAATATATTTCACAGTTTTAAATCAAGAAAGTATGAGGATTCATTAAGACAGACACCAATTTATAGGTAGATGATAAACAGAGGTGATAAAATGTATTCTATTCTGTGACTATAAATATAATATGTACATAAGTATTGTTCTTTAACACTTGAAGGTGGTGGAAGAGCTCCAAAGAAAAATTATAAGGGAAGAAGTCGTCACTTCACAGATGAAGAAACCTTGAAAGAACAGTTGGATAAAGAAAGAAGAGAAAAACAGTGGAGGGTATGTAAATTTAATCATTTAATGATTATTTTGATGTGTTAGCAGTGATACACTAGAGTAAATAGAAGCTTTTAGATTACTGTCAGGGCTCTTGTTTGGTCAAATTTGGGGCCGTATATGGCCCCATTCCCCCATTAAAATAGTGTGTTTTTCTTCTTTAAAAACAAAAAAATTGCTACTCAAAAATAATATTTAATGGCCATAGATCAGGGATCATATTTATAAGTTGAATTTCACACAAAGTATCAAAGGTGTATTCAATTTCATTGGAAATAACCAAAATATTTCATGACAGCAGCTTATTGTTGACAAATTTGTTAACTGACTCTTGTTTTTGCTTGTTTTCAATGAATTAATTTTTTCTGTTGAAATTCCTCCTTGAAAATTATTAATGTATTGTAGAAACAACGTGGTGATGATGTTCAAATGTATGCATATTAATGTATTGTAGAAACAATGTGGCGATGATCATTAAATGTATACATATTAATGTAGTGTAGAAACAATGTGGCGATGATGATTAAATGTATACATATTAATGTATTGTAGAAACAACGTGGTGATGATGTTTAAATGTATACATATTAATGTATTGTAGAAACAACGTGGTGATGATGTTTAAATGTATACATATTAATGTATTGTAGAAACAACTTGGTGATGATCCTTAAATGTATACATATTAATGTATTGTAGAAACAACGTGGTGATGATGACGATGAGGAAGAAGAAGAGGAGAAGAAGAAGGAAGGTGCTGAAGGTGGAATTGCTGAAGAGAGTGGTTCAGAATCAGACAGCTCAGATTCAGATAGTGTTAGTTACATTTATAACTACTTGTTCATAGCAGAACTGAAATTGTTTTTAACTTACTTATTTACAGTAAATGCTAACAAACTTGGTTACTGAATAAATAACATGTTAGGTATATTTGAATCTACTCATTTAAAGCAATACTTAATTCAGTGTAGTTATTTTATTTTTAAACAACTTTATTCACCAAAAAATACTATATTATTGGTATATACATTGTCAGGATAGCACTATTTAAAGTCAGCAATCTCTAAAATATGTATTATCTCAAGTTTGATATAGTAAAGCTGTTATTAAACATTGGAAATGGTAAATGTTTACAGTTTTGTACATTCTAGGATAGACATAAAGGCGTGTCACACTTGATAGCAATAGAGAATCCTAACAGAGCTCTCAAGAAGTCTAAGAAAATCGATGCACTAGACACAGCACCAAGTGCTGGACCTCAGCTCAGTAGGAGGGAAAGGTTGCTATATATAATATCATAGTCAAATGAAGAATTATTTGAGCTGCGCCATGACAAAACCAACATAATGGGTTTGCGACCACCATGGATCCAGACCAGCCTGCAAACCCTATGACAACTACATAACTGACAGCGAACAGCATGGATCCTGATCAGACTGCGCGGATGCGCATGTTGGTCTGGAATCATGCTGGTCGCAAACCCATTATATTGGTTTTGTCATGGCGCGGCTCATTTCACTTTTGCTTAAAATATTTATGGTTATTTAACTGTACATTACTGCAATATATTTGGACGAGTACACAGCTGGATAAACCACATTGGACGAACTGCAAGGCATATCCAATTTGATTTCTAAAGCTGTGATTGTATGTACAATAAATAGCTTTAGTTGACTAGCAATGACAGTCACTGATAGCTCACAATTGATTTCTGTTTTGTAAATATAATATATAAATGATGGATGCAAATAGTGGATAATAAACAAGTAAATGTACAAAGCAAACAAAATGACCAAGCATCATAATTTGTGTACTATAATCTAATGAATAGTTTAATATTATGAGTAAAATTAATTAGTTATTAAATTTATTGTTTGTAATAATATGCGTCTAATTGGATACAATCATCATTTTAAATTTTTAGAAAAGATGCAAATTAGTATTTATCTATATTATATACTTAAAATAATTAAAAGGCCATTATTCTTCCAAAAATGTTTAACAATACGCACCAGGGCTTAGGGCACCTGATGAAGCTTATGTAGAAAAAAATGTTGAAAACTTGGTGTAATCACATTGCATCATTTCTTGTTTATTACTGAGTTTTAACCTTGTGTAAACAATATCATGATATTTCCCGGAATAAGTGATAACAAAATATAACAATTTTCTGTTATTTGTAGAGAAGAATTAGAGAAACAGCAGGCAAAAGAACGTTACAATAAGATGCACATGGAAGGTAAGACTGAGGAGGCACGTAGTGACATGGCTAGACTAGCTATCATACGTAAACAAAGAGAGGACGCTGCAAAAAAACGAGAGGAAGAAAGATTAGGTAAAATTTTGTCTTGTTAAACATCAGTAAATAATCTCATTTTTGGGGGGTTCCATGGCCGAGTGGTTAAGATTCTTTTATGTGAGGAAGCTATCCAGCTAACTTATGGAAAGTCGGTGGTTCTACTCAGGTGCCAGTTTGTGCCGGAAATAATGCACGGAAGGGCACCTGAGGTTTTCCTTCACCAGTAAAGCTGGAACATCGCCATATGACCTATACTGTGTCCGTGTGACGCAAAACCCAATCAAAACAAATCAAAACAAACTCTCATTAATTTTGTAAATGAAAGAAGCTGATAATCTGTCATAATTTGATTTATTATAGAATGATTTATAAATAAAGTGAGTTGAAATTTTTATTAAGATTTCAAGATAAGAACTGAAATGATTTCTGTGTATTTCTTGTGTTATGCATCAGTAAATATTCTTTCTATAGAAAATAATCAAGTATATTTTTATTTATTACCCACTGTTAAAGTAAGTGTAAAGAAAAGGGGTAAATAAGAGCTTCTGTTCGAACCTTGGAAAATGTTGTCCAGAAAATATTGTAATTTAACATTTTTGTGTCGCCTCTACAGAGTAGTGGCGTCATATAAGGATCACTTCTCTGTTGTCTGTCCGTCCGCCCATCTGTCAAAAACTTGTCCGGACTACTCCTCATAAACTACTGGTGCAATTTCATCCAAACTTTACAGGAATGATCAGTACCAAGTCTAGTTGTGCGTATTGTCAGTATTTTCTGGTTCAATGATTTTTGTCAGAGTTATGGCCCTTTAATAATTTTTATTTTTAAAGTTTGTCCGGACTACTTCTCTTATACCACTAATGCAATTTCAATGAAACTTTATAGGATTGATCTGTAGCTCAAGTCCTTGCGCATATTGCACTGGTTTTCCGGTTGAATGATTTTTGGCCAAGTTATGGCCCTTTGATAAAAAGGTGTTTTTTTCTGTGTGTTGCCAGATACACAAAAGCTTGTATGGACTACTCCTCATAAACTACTGGTGCAATTTTATCCAAACTTTACAGGAATGATCAGTACCTTGTCTAGTTGTGCACTGTCCGTCTGTCTGTCCGTATGTCACAAAATTTGTCCCAACATGAAATTGGCCATCATGAGGCGTCACATGTGATCACTGATCGCTCTTGTTATCCCCCGCCGATGGAATCGGGAGGGGGATATAGTTTTGGCGTTGTCCGTCCGAATTTCGTTTCCGGAGTAGTTCTCTGCAACTACTGGCTGGAATTCAACAAAACTTTATGGGAATAATCAATATCAAGAGGAGATGTGCATATCGTCGGCTTGTTCCGGTCAGACACTTTAACTCACGAGTTATGGCCCTTGATTAGTTATGCAGTATCCATATTGAAAAATATTTGTTTCCTTGCTACTTCTCTGCTACTACTGGCTGAAATTCAATGAAACTTTATGGGATACTAAGAGGAGATATGCATATAGTTGCCTTGTTCCAGTCAGATACTTATAACTCAGATTTATGGCCCTTGATTAGTTATGTAGTATGCATACATCTCATTGGCATTTCCAGATTTTACTATTTAACACAAAGTTATGGCTCTGTTATTGCCCTGAATATTTATCAAGTTCAAAGAATATTACTGTTTATGCCATGATTAATATATAAATAAAGCCTTATGTCTTCAGTTGTTGTGTTAATAATAACCAGTACTCGGCGGGGGATATAAATTCAACGAATTTGCTTGTTGAAAGAGTTATTGTTGGCCCTCTGCTGATGTTTTGTCATATGTAGAGAAATACTCTACTGTGTGCAACTCCTACAGTTCTCCAGGGATTTCAACTAAACTTTAGAAAACCATTGTTACCATGTGAACTTGTGCAGATTGTTAATACACTAGGTCTCATTCTATTGTGTCAACTTCTGTTATTTGTTATAGTTCATGAATGATTTTAAATAATTTAAATTGTGTTGTTGTTATTCTAATTTCAGCAAGAGAAGCAGCAAAACAGAAATCTTGATGTCATATGAACCATTGTTAGTTAGTGAATGTCTGGTTCTTGTGGAAATTTGTTGATTGTTGACTATAAGTGCTTCTCATAACTTACAATAAATTTACATGATATGTTGTCACATATTGTACTAGTGCAATTATGATACAGTTATGTAAAAGAAAAGGAGTGTTCATCTCTATTTTTATTCAAACTTTAAATGTTATTCTCAAGTTTTCATAATTTCAACTTCTTTCCATCCTGTTTGATAATCTTCAGAAGTATTGAAGAAAAGTTAAAACATTTTCAGAAAATTATATGCTTAAGCCTTTAGTATTGTTGCTTTGTTTGTCTTATACAGGTTCAAAACAAAGTTTATACAAATGATCAGTAGCTATTCCTCCAAAAGTTGACTACAATATTTAATAGTCAAGCCAAGAGAAATTCTTTACAACATTAACAAGATAAAGTTTCCTTAAATTTTATGTTAAATACTTCTGTATAGTTAAGAATCTTAGTGTCATAAAATCAAATTTTACAAGAAATTCTACCAAGTTTGACCATAGTCTTTGTCAACCTTTCTAAATTTTTGTTACAATTTTAAATGATATCCATATTATCTAAAAGACTAATGCAAGAAATATGTCTGTAAGTAAAGTATGTTGATTGAACCATTGTAAAGCAGATATATAAAGCAATTTAACTGCTGAGTGAGACAGGAAGGTATTGAGTAATTGGTAATGTTTTTAGATTGATGTGAAAACAATTGCCTTGGTCATTTTAATTTACTTCTTGAAACAAACCAGCTTCCAGAAATTTGCTGAAATAAGATGAGAGTATTTTGTCTCTAGGTACATTTATAAGGAGATAGGCAGCTTAAATAATAAGTACATTTGTATGTAAACTTGATGTAGTTCACATACATGTACATTTGATGTTTGATTTTCATAAGCAAGTTATTTTTATGAAATGCATTTACTTTATTTATTTCTTCATCATTTGAATATTGCATTCTTCATTTTCCCAGTTTGCAGATTAATCTTTTACAATACTTTCTTTAGACTAAATTATAATTGATATTTAACCTTAGATTTGTTCTATAACTTATTAGCTGTGACTATGTATTTGACCAAGGACATATTCAGATATTGCAAACTGGGATATTGTCATTATTTGACAGAAATGTTTTTTCTTCACTTGAATATATGTATGTAACAAATGTATGTATAAATGACATGATTTTATAGATGTCTCAGTTAGTGAATGTTCCTGAGAAACATAAATTTGATGTTTTGTGTCTGGCAAAGAACAGTTGAAAACTGAAAATATGAAATTAAAAGACCAACCTAATCAAAGTTAGTGACTATAACTAAAGAATTAAGTATATTGCAACACAAGTATAAAAATGCCATATTCTTGCATCTGAAATATTACAACCATATATCAGAATATACAAAGGTTGTTGTACATTTGAATATTTGTAATTCAGGGTTTTGTCGTTTTATATTATTGGGCTTCTATGTTATACTTTACCTCTTAGATATTTAAAAAATATATACTTTATTTTACACTCTAAATTGGGTCAGGCTGTGTTTATATCTCATTATGTAAGAGCACTCTGTTTTAAACATTTGTTTTCAGTTTGTGATCATTCTGTATAATCTTATAAAGTTCTTTTTTTTTCTGTAAGCTGAAATTAGCACAGTCTTAGATTTTCCAGAAAACTCTAGTTGTTGTATGTACACACATTATTCTAATATCAAATATGCTTTTGTATTCAATATGAAAAGAATTAATTGGTTAATATCTTTAAAAAATCTTCTAAAAATCACAACATTATGTTCATCAGAAAGCACAGCTGTTAGATATAGATGTAAAGAAAAGTGCCAGTAATTATTATACTGATAATAAAAGTGTATTGGTTTAAAAAGGTTGGGAACAATAGTTTGACTTAATGCTTCACTAAGTTCAGATTTTAACTTATGTGCCAGGCTGTTTGATTTTGCATGGAGTAATCTGCCCTCCACATATCTGGAAGAAACAGTGACTTTCCCTACATCAATATGAGTCTGCTGCAGATATTGTACATGATAATATGTACGTGTAGTTTTGATGCATAATGTAAAAAACATGTCAAGTTCTAGAACATTTCTGTAATAATTTAAATATTAAATAAATTTATAAATTGTATTTAGTGTTTTGATTTCTTGAGTACGGAGACCCTAAGGTGAGATTTTTGACACTTTTTCTCGGGCAATTAATTGTTTTTACGAAATATTAATTCATTTTTACGAAATATCAATTCGTTTTTACGAAATATTTCGTAATTTCGAAATGTTAATTCGTTTTTACGAAATATGAATTCGTTTTTACAAAATCTTATTTAAGGTCATTGTGAGCTTGACAAAGAACCTACTAATCTCACAAAGGGATCATTTTCAAGCCTGGATCAAACTTGCGATTAAAAGCCGAATGGTTCTGAAGTTATTATAAAGTGAACAGAGTTTTTGAGTGAGAAGTCATTCTCTATCCAAAATGGCCCCTTTTTCCCCCAATGTCAAATACATGTTCCTATCAGCATTATTTTAATTTTTGAGGCAATTATTTTTTTCTGACATGTTTCTTTTTGCTATGTTATTTCTTTTATCATAGTAAAATTTAAGGGGGTGGGTGGGGCGTTCTCCGGACTTTCACTTATCTAATCAATTTAAAAAAGTATATTTCCTTACAATTTATGTATGGGCACCATGCGATCATAAAGAAACAACATTTTATTTCAAAACTCAATAATTTTGACAGAAACAAAAAAATGTCCGTGTTTGGATTTGAAGCACAGGACCCCCATTTTAACTAAATTTTCCTAGCGCGTGTACTACCACGAATGTGGCGGCAACGCTATTCAAAGGCGACTATTTTAATTAATATAGAATAGTGTTAAGTTATAAAACTTGGGGAGAAAAAAAAATCACTATTAATATTGCATTTACATGAGGAACTTAGTTTCGAGACTTTATAAATAACTATGTGAAACCCTAGAAAAAAAATTCGTTTTTACGAATTAATATTTCGTAATTACGGAATATTTCGTAATTACGAATTAATATTTCGTAATTATGAGATAATATTTCGTAAGAAACGCATTATTATTTCGTAAAAAAACAATTAAGTTGAGGGGGGGGGGAGTTGGAAAATGTCAACTTAGGGACTCCGTTCTTTAGTTTTGTATTTTGTAAATGAAATTTTACTTGGCTTCTAAGCTTTAAAACTACAGTTATACTGACACCAAAATTTTGTACATTGAGAGATTTTACATCTGCAATACCCTTAAGCTAACAAAGAGTAACATAGGACACGAAAGTTTTGCTCTTTAAAATAAGAAGCATGATTGTCTCCTGAAGTCACGGCCACCAATATTGGCGACCTTTTATCAAATATCATAGACTAATATTGTACTAGTTAAGAAGCATCAAAGGGCTAGGAATGTTTTCAAATCTGCATCTTTTCTGTTATTGATATGCTGCTCAAATGCCCAAATTGACTTGAAAGAACATTGTACTGATTAAAGGCTTAGAAAGAAACCCTTTTCAAAGAAACTGTTACTCAGGTGCTCGTTCGTGCCTGAAATAATGCAATGCACGGAGGGTCATCTGAGGTCTTCCTCCACCAGTAACCACACGACCTCTACTTTGTTAGTACCACGTAAAACCCAAACAAAAACAACTACAATTGATACAAAGTATACTACAAGGCTTATTTCGTACGCAATAAAGTGCTTATTTCTTAATGCTTATTTTGTACACATTTATAGTGCTTATGAATTGTTATTACAATGGAAATGGTGAAACAATAAATTATTAATGGAAGTCCTGGTTTATGTTATTATGCTTTATACAAAATCAGCTGTAAATTCTATGATAAGCTCATTGTACGTAATACAAGATAAATAACTGTGTTTGAATTTATTGTAACTGAATTCTCAATATTACTCTCCCTTATATATATAATGCTGTTTCATAGAAAATTTTGCATTCCGAGTATAGACCTCTATATGGTATAATGTATCATAAATGGGCCCGAACCTGAACGATGACTGCTCACATGGATGACATATATTTCTCGATAATTACACGCGCATACCGGTATCTTGACTGTGTGTCTTGACTAACGTATGATTTGCCTTAACGTATGCTTTGCCCTTACATGATTTTCAGTAACGAAATTTTGCCCTCACGTATGATTTGTCTTAGCGTATAATTTGCCTTAACGTATGATTTCCCGAAATGTGCCCCATAGTTTAACTCAACGTTTGCAGTGTATCATAGACCGATCCTGCTTACCATTGGTTCTATACCTGTTTGGGTGCTTTGATTTACTTACCGCCGCTGTATGCTTTTTGTATAGGTTATACACGTAAATGTATACTCGTAATATAACCAATGATGGAAATTAATACAAATATTAATACTTTCATACATCAATATCCTGTAACAGTCTTCATATTGGAAATGTCGGACTTAAACACTTCCATATATTAAAATACTCTCAGGAGATAATTAATCTTCTACACCCGTTCGTCAGATGTATGACTTAACGTTTTTTCTCAGAATGAAACAAATTACAAAAACTTTCCTAGCAATTTAGTTCCAACATTGGCAATCATCAGTCGATGTCGCGGCTATATGTGTATTTCTCTAGCCAGCCATCGTCACGTGCAAAATTACTTGAGTCCTAATATACAATTAAATGTTTTATGATACATGCTAATTTCAAATTATTCATTCAAAAGATGAGACAAAGGAAATTTTGGAAAGTTTTCAAAATTCTTTGTTTTGTATTAACCGAAAGTTATCAAAATATATCTTTTCCGCTACCAGCATTTGAATTATAGACGTTTATGTCAACTGCCTAGTTTTTGCAGCGGATAAAATATTACGATTTTAAAAAGAATTGCTCCTTTATCTTTAAAAAATAGTACAGCTCTAAGTATATTTATAAGTACAACAAGTACAAAAATTCCAAATAGAATATTTGTCTCAATGAAATACAGGTCAAGTTCGGATATGGGTCATCTCGGGTCATAAACTAGGTCTCAGCAGCTAAAAATAGAAAAATCTTGTTAACACTCAAGTGGCTGCAGTTATGATCCAAATATCCTGGAAATTGATGAGAAAGGTTGTGTTGACGATTTCTAGGTTAAGTTCGAATATGTGTCGTCTCGGGTCAAAATGAAGGTCACAGGAGCTAAAAATAGAAACATCTTGTTAACACTGTAATGGCTGCAGTTTTGATCCAAATATTCTGGAAATTGGTCAGGTAGGTTGTTTTGATGATTTCTAGGTCAATATAGACTATGGGTGGTCTCGGGTCAAAAACTAGGTCACAGGAGCTAAAAATAGAAAAATCTTGTTAACACTCTACTGCCTGCAGTTTTGATCTAAATATCTTGGACATTGGTTAGGAAGGTTGATTTGATGATTTCTAGGTCAAGTTCGAATATTTGTCGTCTCGGGTCAAAAACTAAGTCACAGGAGCTAAAAATAGAAATATCTTGTTAACACTCCAGTGACTGCAGTTTTGATCCAAATATTCTTGAAATTGGTCAGAAAGGTTTTTTTGATGATTTCTCGGTCAAAATAGAATATTGGTAGTCTCGGGTCAAAAGCAAGGTCACAGGAGCTATATATAGTGTAACTTCCGAAAACCGAACACCCATGGGACTTGTCAAAAAGTTCGGATTTCAGAGGTTTCCGGAATTCAGAGGTTTATGATAATGTGGACAAGACTAAGCCACTTAATATCACTAAATGTCAAGGAAGATGTGGCCATTACTGTAATATCATATATAATAGTCTTTTAATCAAGATAAAGATGTGAATGAAAAGAATACATTTTTATCTTACCTGCAAATGCTTTTGAATTTCTATCAGTTTGTAGAAATGTTGTTAATTGCATAAACTTACATATCGTCCGATTCTAGTTAATATATTATTACATCAAATGCAATAAAATCCCTAAAGACGTTTGATGCATACATTGTCCAATTAATTGTCATTTAATCCGCTAATAAACACTTCAAATTAACTGACCGCCGTAAATTACTTTGATTAACCGCATCACTTCAACCATACCATTTCACAGTTTGTGATTTTAACGCGTGTCAAATTACACGATCACCGCTATTTAGTAAACAATCGAATGGGAGATTAAATCTTCCTGCAGGGTAAACATTCTCGATTTACAATGTATTTCACACCTTTGGATATTTCCGGTTTTTGGAGGTAAAATTGCATTGATTTCACTCTAATTTTACGAAAATATAGTCCGGAATTCAGAATTTAGAAGTTCCGGAATTCAGAAGAATCATATACATAGAAAATAGAAGGGAAAAAATCGGGACCGAAAAAATTGTTCGGTTTTTAGAAGTTTCCGGATTTCAGAAGTTCCGGAATTCGGAAGTTACACTGTACCCGGTATCTTGTTAACACTCTAGTGGCTGCAGTTTTGACCCAAATATCATGGAAATTGATGAGGAAGGTTGTTTTGATGATTTCTAGGTCAAGTTCGAATATGGGTTATCTACTGTAAAAAACTAGGTCACTATAGCTAAAAATAGAATTTACTACATACAGGAGCTTAAAAAAACCCCAGAAAAATCTTAGGTCTTCTTGGGCCAAAAACTAGGTCACTCTGCCTAGATATGGAAAAACCTTGTTAACACTCTAGAGATCCCATTTTTGACTCAATTGTCATTAAACTTGGTCAGGATGCCTGTCTAAGTAATTGCTCGGATGTTCGATGGGTCAGGCGAGCGATGTAGGGCCATCTTGGAAATCTTTTTTAATTTAGTAAAAGCAAACAGAAAACAGTCTAATATTTCGCAAGTCTACTGTAATACATATAAATGCATATCTTTCGTTAATAGCATATACTGTTTTTGATAATGAACATTACGATAGTTAGATGTATACATGTAGAATATACATGTATACTGCCAAATGCATGCTGCATGCATCACTGGAAAAGTTAGCCGGCAATTTAGATCGAGGTTTGAAATATATCTTAGTAATGACCCAATATGTATTACATGTACTCTACGGCCCAACATGTAATACGTAGTTTAAGACCAAACATGTAATACCTGGTCTACGACCCAACATATTTTACGTCGTTTACGACCCAATATGTAATAC